CCGACCGACTGACCTGTTATTAGTCGGTTTTGGTCGGTCGGCTCGTCGGATTTATATGGTCACTCCTATGAATATGAAGTTCGTTGTTGAAAATCCAAATGTGTTAATCATGTGATTTTAGTAGCTGGGTTATTGAGTGATTTCAACCTTTTATTTTTGTGATAATCAAGGGCTTGGTATTCAGCAAGAACTTACAAAAATTAAGATCTGTTTCTTTTTATTTTCGTGGTTTTCACTTTTCAAGGTCTAGATATCATATCTGTAGGTTTTAAGGGAAAAATTTTAAGAGATCTTGTTTGGATTTTGAGAAAATGTCGGGATGGTTTTAAGTTTGGTGAAGAAATTTTGATTTTTTCCTTAGATTTTATTTTTATTATTATTATTTTTAAGAAACCTCAGATATGTTGGTTCTGAACGATCTAATCCATTCTGGAAATTAAATGGAATGGAAAAGGCATGACTTTTAATATTAAAAAAGAAAAAAACAATCTGATTCGATTCGGTTCTGTTGTTGTCTCTACTTAACCTCTTTATGTCCGAAACCAAACCGAACCGACTTTTTTTCACCCCTAGTAATTGCTACATCTAGGACATGTTAATGAAAAATAGCCAAATCAATATTTTTGAAAATTATCAAAGAGGCATCTTGTTGGGAATTACTGTGGAGCCAAACATTAAAATGGGGCATTAGTTATTGGGCCAAACTAATTAAAGATAGGCCCAATACATTATTTCTTCTTCATTAAGCTTGGCTATTTTTGTTAAAAAAATTAAGTGCCTGCCGCCCCACGTTTTTAACAACCCCTAGAGAGAGAATTAAGTGTGAGAAAATTTATAGAGAGAGGTTTTGGCGAGAGGTTCTTCGTGAGGCTTCACAGAGAAGAAAAAACATGAGTTCTGTACGTTTTGTTTCCATTGAAGAGTTTTAGAAGCTTGTAAGAGTGATTCGTGAGCATTTTTCTTTGAGAGAAAAGTGAAAGAAATCATTGTAGAGCGTTTGTAAACTCTTGAAGATTCTTCTGGCATTTAGTGGAACCTACAACGGTAGCAAAGAACTGGACGTAGCCCACATTGGGTGAACCACTATAAATCCGGTGTCGATTTCTCTTCCCTATATTTTATTGTTCTTGTTGCTTAAGGTTTAGGTTGGTTTATCTACTCTTTGAGCATAGTTCCGATTTGATTTATTTCTATTATAATTGGAACCAGAACCTGATCTGGGATTAGTTAGCATATATTGTCTGGAATTGTGATTGAGATAATATTTGTTAGCTTGTTTTATTCCTAACAAGTGATATCAAAGCGAGGTTGAAGAACAATGGCAGGGGACGACAAATTGGTCACTTTTAATGGGTCGGATTTTTCATTTTGGAAAAATCAGGTATTAGATTATTTGCACTCGAAAGAGTTAGAATTGCCATTAGAAGGAAAGCCGGATGATATGGGAGAAAAAGAATGGAAGAAGTTGGACAGGAAAGTGTTGGGTACGATTCGCCTGACATTAACTAAAAATGTTCAGAGTAACGTGACGAAGGAAACGACCACAATGGGGTTGATGAATGCCCTGGCCAACATGTATGAAAAACCCTCGGTAAATAATAAGGTGTATCTTGCAACTAAATTTTTTAATTTGAAAATGGCTGAAGGTACACCTATTACTGCCCATTTAAATGAGGTTGATGCGTTGATTAACAAATTGGTAGCTGTTGATTTAGAATTCAGTGATGAAGTTTATGCTATTTTGTTATTAAGATCTTTGCCTGATAGTTGGGAACCCATGCGAGCTGCTATTTCGAATTCTTGTGGGAAAGAGATTGAAATTTGAAGATGTTAGAGATGCAGCTCTTGCAGAAGAAAYTCGTAGGAAGGACTCTGGTATCGCTTCTACTTCTGGTCCAGTATTGAATGTGGACAGAGGAAGAAATAATAACAGAGATTATGGGAATCGAGGCAAGTCGAAAAACAACAGAAGTAGGTCGAGAAACAACAGGTTTGAGTGTTGGAATTGTGGTAAGACTGGACACTTGAAGAGGAATTGCAAGGCCCCGAAGAAAAATGATGGGAACGAAGCCGGTGCTAATGTTGCTGAGCAGATACATGATGCTCTGGTTCTTGCAGTTGAGAGCGCTCATAACACATGGGTCATGGATTCAGGTGCGTCTTTTCATACTACAGGACAACGTGACATTCTTGAAAATTATATTGCAGGAAATCATGGAAAAGTATATCTTGCCGATGGAGAGCCTTTGGATATCATTGGTATCGGTGACGTGAATTTAAAAATGGCGAATGGTTCAGTTTGGAAAATTCGCAAGGTACGTCATGTTTAGAATATGATGAAAAACTTGATTTCTGTGGGGCAGTTGGATAATTAAGGATGTGAAATATCCTTTGGTCAAGGAAACTGGAAAATTACAAAGGGTGCCATGGTGATTGCTCGAGGAAGCAAGTTAGGAACTTTGTATGTCAACAGCAATGATAAAGACATGGTGGCTGTTGTAGATCATTCGAGTCATACTCAATTATGGCATAACAGACTGGGACATATGAGTGAAAAAGGTATGAAAATTCTTCGCTCTACAGGGAAGTTATAGGGACTTAAGGCAGTTGACCACAAGCTGTGTGAAGGTTGTGTATTTGGGAAGCAGAAGCGTGTCAGTTTCTCAAAAACAGGTGCAGCGCCAAAACCTACGAAATTGGAGCTGGTTCACACTGATGTGTGAGGGCCTTCTGAAGTTTCTTCTCTTGGAGGTTCCAGATACTATGTGACTTTTATAGATGACTCAAGTAGGAAGGTATGGACTTATTTTCTCAAACATAAGTCTGATGTATTTTCTGTTTTCAAAACTTGGAAAGCTATGGTTGAGAATGAGACAGGTCTGAAAATTAAAAGCTTGAGGTCAGATAATGGTGGTGAATATGTTGATGGGGAATTTAAAAAGTATTGTGCAGACAGTGGAATTGTGATGGTAAAGACTATTCCAGGGACACCACAGCAGAATGGTGTGGCAAAGAGAATGAACAGGACGTTGAATGAGCGTGTCAGGAGCATGAGATTACATACGGGATTGTCTAAGATGTTCTGAGCAGAGGCAATCAACACTACGACCTATCTGATCAATAGGAGTCCGACCACATCACTAGACTTCAAATTGCCTGAAGAAGTCTGGAGCCGTAAACAGGTAAACCTTTCTCATTTAAAGGTTTTTGGCTGTGTATCTTACCTTCACATTGATGTTGCAGACAAGAGTAAACTTGATGCTAAATCCAAGAAGTTTTATTTTCTTGGTTATGGCGCAGCTAAGATGGGCTATAGGTTTTGGGATGACCAAAATAGGAAAATTATTAGAAGCAAGAACGTGATCTTCAATGAGAATGTTCTGTACAAGGACAGAGCAAATGATAAATCTGAAAAGTTAGAGTTAGATGAAAGTACAGAAGAGAAGACTAGGTACATAAGTCTTCCCAGAGTTGAGACCAAGACAACAAGAATTGAAGATCATAGTACAACTACTCTTGAGGAACCAGTTGTGGAATCTGAGGAACAGGTTATTGAACCTGATGGGCCAACTGTTGAAACTGAAGAAGTTCAGAGAACACCACCTATAACAGTTAGGAGATCTAGCAGAACTATCAGACCACCACAGAGGTATTCCCTAACTTTGAATTATATATTATTGACTGACAGAGGTGAACCTGAATGTTATGAAGAAGCAGTTCAGTTAGAAGATTCTGTCAGGTGGGAGTTAGCCATGAAGGATGAA